ACACACACACACACACACACACACACACACACACACACACTCACTCACTCACTCACTCACTCTCTCTATCTGACGCTGATGTAACTTACGGTGTGTGTGTGAGCTCTGAATGACACACGGATGGCTCCAGCGCTGGATCACGTGGTTCCGCCCCTCCTCTGCTCTCCAGTGTCTCTGCGCTTGTTTGCGTGTCTCTCTGTCCTGTAGTCAGACTGCTGCTGTCCGCGTCGCTCAGTCTCTCTCGCTGGGCTTCGGCCGGTTCTGCCCGGCTGAAATGAAACAGGCTGCCCAGGCGTCTGAGGAAGCCATCAGCAGGGGGCACAGTGGAGGCGCTTGGAGGAGCCGAGTCCCCGGCATCCCCTCGAGATCCGTCCTCCGTCTGTGACGCTATGTTTCCGTCCGGCGCGTCAGACGACTGCGACTCCTGGAGAGAACATGAGAGGAAATCAGCGCTGAGCTCTTCCTGTAGCAGCAGCCTCTCTCTCTCTCTCTCTCACGCCCCTCCCCCAGCACATCCCACCCAAACACTTAACCCCTTCACTGCCAACACTGGGTTTTACAATGTTACAAAACTAAAACGTTAGTAAAACTACCTCAAAACAAAAAGAAAGAAAGATATTTTTTCTTGCATAAACTCAGCCTCTCTGTTAAGACTGTCCTAAAAACTAGTCTCAGCGATTAGCAGTTAGCCAAAGGGTAATCAGTCTTAATTTTCAGATCCATATTAGACCAAGCTGTTTTTATGCAATACATTACGTTTTACATAATGTATTAAATGTATTTACATAATGTAAAAATAACAGATTTTAAAACACTAGGCATCATACACTTGTTGACTTTGTTCATTATTAGAGGAAAACCTGGCCATCACACACAAACCCCTGAGCATCACACACTAAACTACTGAGCATCACACACTAAACACTGAGCATCACACACTAAACTACTGAGCATCACACACTAAACACTGAGCATCACACACTAAACACCGAGCCAGAACACACTAAACACTGAGCATCACACACTAGCAGAAACATGCGGCACATGACAAATACAAACAATGCATGTTCTTAAATCGGCTCAAAATCAAACGTGTCGGATATCTTCTGACTGGATGGAATCAGAGTCGTGAACATCAGACAGCAGCGGGTTTTCTATGAAATCTGTCGACTTTCAGCAACTAGCGTCAACTTCTCCAGACTGAAAATCAGATCAAAAATCTGTGTAAAAGTTATGTAGTGTATTCCAGCTTTAACTTATCTAATCATTTTATGCAACTGAGCACTGGGCCGTATTTTTAGATTTTTATCTTCATTTTCCAAAGAGCTCCTAGCTGGGAGTTTCAGCTTAAAACCTGTTCACAAAACTCTCAAGGCCAAGTGTTACTGAGAAACTCGTAATATAAGAGTAAAAGCGGGGTATAGATGATGACGTCACTCTTGTAACTCGCTCACAGCGGTTGGCAGAGATGGGATAGAGAGAAATATATAACTATATGAAGTACAAACACTTAAACAGAACATAATCAAGTATGGGCTACACGCCTATGGCTAATCAGTTGTCAAATTAAACTAATTAGTAAATATATTTAAACCACATTTCAAAAATAATGTGAGTATATATCATCAGCTGGAAATAAAGTGATTCCCATGACAGTGTTCCTCTGTGTGGTTATCGTTATAGTTGTGGTGTGGACTCACTATTCTCTTAGAGTTCGAGCGATTATTAAAACCTAAGTTACTGTTGCAATCTCAGGCATCTGTATTCTGTGAAAGATCTGCCGGATCAGAGTTAAACAGGTCCTGACGGGTCCGCTCTCAGACAGATGAAGAGCCGCCTGGACTTCTGCTGCCACTGACCCAGTTTAAAGCTCAAACCAGGCCCGGCTCTACGAAAGCAAGAGCACCTTCAGCTGAAACTGTAATAATAGTGTATTGGTGAAACGGATTTGACACATGCTTTGCTGCATACTGTGTTTGCGCAGTCAGCTTCACTGATTACAATGGAGGTTTTCTCAAAATCTGAAGTTAGTGACAGCATGCTAGTGATTATTAAGGGAGCACTCTTTGAACGCTTCTATTTATAATCATTCATAATTCATCGTTTGACAAAAAGGTTTGTTTTTTGTGCTGCTAAGAAGACCAACGGACATGTACACGCTGCACAGTTTTGGGAGACCGACTCCTGAAATTAACAGTAATAAACAGTGAAACCCATAGCAACGCATGGGACAAAAATAGTGTTGACTGATGCCGGGTGTACCTGTGCTGTGTTCAGGTGCTTCTCAGGGGTTTGATCAGCGCTGCCGCTCACTGCCGATCCATCAGCCTCTCTGACCTCACTGAGGGAAATAAACAAATCAGACGAATATGCAAAGCCTTGATAATGAACTCTCAACTTCAGCCATAAGCCCAGATACCTGCCTTCAGCACAACTGTTCATGGATATCAGATTCTCTCCAGAGGCGAGAGAGAGAGAGAGACATGAAGCACTATAAGACTGACACACCCTGCAATTGTCTAATGCCTCTTTTCTTCTAAATATTTCCAGGTCGTTTGGACAGGAGAAAAAACACACACAGAACCCTATCATCGGCATTAAAGATACTTGAAATGCAGAACAAACACAGTGTTGTGGTGGTTTGATTGGCACAGACTGACACCGAGAGAGAAAGAAAGAAGAGTGTGTGTGTGTGTGAGAGAGAGAGAGAGTGTGTGTGTGTGTGAGTGAGATTTTAAACACTGTAGTATCAAGTGTTCACACGTTCTAATTTTTTACAGTTGATTTAAGTTTACATTTTTATGTTTTCTTCTATTATTTTGATCTTTTCATTGTTATTATGTTTCTCCACATATATTCCAAGCTTTGGCAATGTTGCATTTTTTACAGTCATGCCAATAAAACAATTTTGAATTGAATTGAGACAGCGAGAGAGAGAGAGAGAGAGACTCAAAGAGAGAGAGAGAGAGAGAGAGAGAGAGACAGAGAGAGAGAGAGAGAGAGAGAG